TCCTCCTGGGCTTTCAACCCCTACCCTTTCTCCAGCCCTGCTTGAGGTGAGGAAGGAGGTTTTGGGTGACTCTTCCTTCTCCACTCAGTAGATGTCCCAATTTCGTTTATTCCTCGGGCAAACTGTCTTCCTAGGTCCAGCTGAGGTCCAGGCTAGGGAATGTGGCTGCAGAGGTCCCGGAGAGACCGAGGAATAAATAATCAAGTGAAACCAGAAAGGACAGGGGCTTTGGAGCAAGTTCATAAACACAGGAGAGGGATGGGATGGTCACTCAACCTGCTGAACTTTGCTCAGGGGGTGATACTTACTGAATGTCTGGTGTGACCATGAGCAAGTCACCATGGTTCTGAGAGGGTCAGTGATTCTCAACAGTCACACTGCAACTGCTGTCTGTACCCCCAAGTGAACACCGTACTTGCTACATTCTAGGATTCTGGGAAGGGGAGAGAAGGGAGATGGGAAGGTCACAGGGTAAGAAAAGGCATTCTACCTATTTTAGATAAATGAATAAAAAGTGGCAATAGAGATTTGATGGGAATGCAGATCTTTGATTCCTTAGCCTAGTGTTATTTCCTTTATCAAAGATGGTGGGAAGCAATTCCAGATCTGTTTGCAGCTTTGATTTAGGGTCTTAAACCTGAAAAGCAGTTGTCCCCCCTCCCCCAAAAGACATTCTTTTCATTTCTTTGCTTTTTCCACAACAAACATGCATTACTCTCAGAATGAGAAACAAACAGGTAAATATACAGAGGGGACCAAATGCAACCATGATTAGAGAGGAACCCTGGGTCCACTTTGGGACTGCTCTGGGGCCCTAACTTTGTGGGCGCTCTCTGACCCATTCCTACTTACAGGCCAGGAAGAGCCTGGGAAGAGTCTCAGAGACATTGAATGAGGCTGCAATGACCAGGGACTACTGTAGGAGTTCCCAGGATATTCTACAGGTCTGTAAACTCCTTGAAACTGTAAGCTGAACTCTGGGCATGCAGTTCCCAAGAGACTTTTATTAAAGAGACACACATGGCTGCAGATTACAATGACAGGGTCAACGCATAAGGGTTAAACAAGAGCCAAGAACCCTAAAAAAGTCCTTGCCTCCCTTTGAGAATAACCGGTGTGGGTGGGAAGAAATGGATAAGGTCCTGTCTCATGGATTCACAATGTTAATTTTAACTTTTTTTTTTCTTTGAGCTTACCCTCACCCCATTCCAAAGCAGTGAGGGGGACAAGTATGATTATTATGCTATTAAGGCCTTCCAAACTGACACTCTCCTCTTTCTCCTAGACTGTGGCCATGAATCTTAGTTCCTAATCCTGTGGACTGTGTGTGTCCACAGCTTTCTGTCTTGCTTCCCTGGTTTATGCTGATACTAACTTTCTCTCTAAGTCCTTCCCAAAGGGTCAGTTGCTTTAAATCTCATCAAGCATTGAATTCCATTCCATCAATACTGATCTAGCTCCTGCCATGTGCGGGTGTTGTGAGGGAGATGCAGACTCTCAGATAAGTGCCCCCTTCCCTCAGCAGCTGCAGGCTAATGGCAGGACAGATAACAGGGTCAATCTGGGGGAAGGGGCAGGGGCTAAGAAGTGGCTTCTTGGAGGTATAACAGTAGCTGGAGTTGTATGAAGGTTCCTGTACAAAGGAGGGGGGTGCTGGGAAGGAAGGGGAGAAGCATATTAGAGATGAGTAAAGACCAACTGGTCAGAACAAGAACCTTTGTGTTCCACTAAGGAATTTGAATTTTATCAGATAGTGTGTAGGTGGTACCAAAGAGTCTTGAGCAGAGCAGGTGGACTCCTCACAGATCTACATCTAAGATCATGTTGCAGCTGGGTGTGGACCGCCTACATGCCTGTAATCCCAGAGATTTAGGAGGCTGAGGCAGGATGATTGCAAGTTCAAGGCCAGTCCGGGCAATCTAGCAAGACCCTCAACAACTGAATGTCTTGAAATAAAAAGAGCTAGGAATGTACCTCAGTGGTATAGTGTCCCTGGGTTCAAGCCCCACTATAAAAAAAAAAGAAAAGTTTGAGACTGGGAAACAAAATTCTACTGGTAAGCACAGTCTAGTTGCTGGGGTTGATGGCAGGGAGATTTAATGAGGCCCTTTAAACCTTTAACTTAGGCCTTTAATGGGACCTTTTAACTACAGCCATGAGCAGGACCAGCTACATAGTTTGCAAATCCGTAGTGCAAAGAGGAAAATGTAGGGTCTCCCGTTCAAAAATTAAGAATTTCAAGAAAGTGATAGCAGAGCATTGGGGGCCCTTTCAAGTGCACAGTCCTGTGCAGCTGCACAAGTCATACACCCATAAAGCCAGCCCTGGCCACAGGACCAGAAAGGGCAGGTCAGAAGACAGATGTAGAAAGCAGAGTCCCAGGAATTGGAGATCTGTTGGACATGGGAAGAGAGGGAACAATCAGCAAGACAACCAACAGATGACCTCCCTACATGCTTTATAGATCACTCATCTGCTTGCTGATTGCTGACCATGATCAGCTCTAATTTTTTTTTTAAGAGAGAGAGAGAGAGAGAGAATTTTTTTTTAATATTTATTTTTTAGTTTTCGGTGGACACAACATATTTTATTTTTATGTGGTGCTGAGGATTGAACCCAGCGCCCCGCACATGCCAGGCGAGCGCGTTACCGCTTGAGCCACATCCCCAGCCCAGCTCTCATTTATTAACATGTCTAAAACTCACCCCTCTTCCTCTCTTCTACCACCAGACCTGTTACTGAAGAGCCTGCAACTAAAGGTACCACCATTCACCCTGTCACCCTAGTTAAAAGACGCTAGGGTCACCCTCCCAAGGATGCTGCCCTCCACTGCTCTCTGCCCATCCTATCCCTTCAGGTAATTTACTTGTAAATGTTCTCCCATCTGTGTGGCCTCTTCACAACTGTACCACTGCCAAATCCAAGTAGGTCCTTCTTAGTTTAGGCCTAGATTACCTATGAAAGCCTCCTGTCCCTTTCCCTGTCTCAGTCTGGACTCCACCCTCACTTCCATATAAAACATTCGTCCTCCACAGCACTTCTTCAGTGGTGTTCCCAAACACTAACCTGACCAGTTCACTGAATAAATAAGACCCAAAGGATAAGATCCAAGTGCCTTAAATGGTACACAAGGCCCTCTGCCACTTAACCCTGCTTTGTTTTCTAATAAATGCCAGAAACGCTATAATCTCCCACACACCTTCAGCACACACCCCACAGGTTGGTTTTTCCTTTACCTTAGGCGGTTTTCTCTGCCTGGAATGCCTTACCTTCCCCTTCAGGGCCTGGCTAAGGTCAAATCCTTGGAAGTCTACCTCAGCTCCCATCTCTGGAGACCTTCTCCAGCCCCCATCCTCACTCTACCCCATCCACACAGACTCTGGGTGACCCTCCACACTGACCACTGAACTGTAAAGAGGCCTGTGTGCAGCTGGCTTCCCCTCTGGGCTGGTGCGTGGGGGAGGGGGGAATAGCTAGAGGAGATAGCAAATCTTGCTCATTGGTGCCACCAGCACCTAACACAGAGCTAAGTCCATGAGGGTATTCCCCATATGTGTGGTGTTCTGGGCTGAAAGGTCTGGGATAGGATAGTGCCAGTAACAGAGACAGAACAGGTTGGAAGAGGAACGGTTTTCAGGGGAGGCTGACACAGATAACCCCAAAGAGAAAAAATAAAAATAAATACCTCACATCATGTTATCAAGACCCCACAGGCAGAGCTAGGACAGTGCCTTTGACTGAATGCAGCTGTGACCAAGAAGCAATGACAGCTATGCTGGTGTTGGGGTTGATTGCATTTGGTTTCAGAATTTGGTTTGTTTTCTTCTAAAAACCCCATTCCCTTATGTCAGCTGTAAACAAGCCCCTCTCTAGAGGAGGAAGGCTGTTTTCCACCAGGTAGCTCCAGCCCAACCAATGATAAAATGGTTGGCGGTGAGCTGGGGTCAGAGATGTACTTCAATCCCATGTGTCCCTGCAGGCAGAGAAGCCCTGTACAGAGAGGGCCTTCAATAAATACTTGCAGAGGAGGTGAATCGTGCTTAGTTCCCCAAGAGTGGGGGTGGGAAGCCTGAAGCTCCTGGGGAATGGTGGGGGCAGACGGCCTGGGATTATACTTGATCCACAGATAATCTCCCAAATCCAGAAGCCACCTGGACAGCAGTTTAATGGACTGAGGCCCATCACTGTATACATGTTGATGTTGCTGCTGAATTCACAAAAGGTTTACAGGGACCAGAGGGGGATTCCTCCAAATGCCGGTTTATTAATCTAATTATGGGAGAGGAACAGACAGCTATCAATCCTTTTGAGAGCAGAATCTATTGGAGAGGATTAATTAATCAATTAATGAATTAATCCGGCTCCCTTTCCCTCTTAACTTTTAGAAAGTTTTATTATGGAAATTTCAAATATACATAAAAGTGGAGAAAACGAGATAATGAACCCCCAGTATCCAGCAACCAGCTTCAAGAATCACCAACACTTGCCCGATCTAGAGTCACCTATACCCCACCCCTTGAGGCAGATCTCAGGTATCATCTTACATGCTTAAACACTTCGGTAACGGTGGGAATCCATTCCGGATTCATCTGGGGGGCAATGGCCGGTTCCTTGCCCCGCTCAACTCCCAGCAGGTTCTCAGCCCACGTCTCTAAAACTGAAAGCGGATAGTGGGGCGCCGGCACCGCCCCCTCCTCTGCTTCCTCCTCTTCCCGCACAGCGTGGGTCATCTTGGTCCTGTGGCTTTCCTGACATCCCACCCGCAGCGCGGGTGATGCGAGAGTGAGTCCCTCCGCGCTACGCCGCGGAGAGAGCGAGGAGGCGCCTTCCACTTCCTCTTTCTCCCTCTGACTAACCCTCGGCGCCCGCCCCGCCCCTGTGGGCGTGATCACGACAGAAGGGGCGGGGAAATACCCATATTTGGCCTTATATGGGCAGCCACGTCACAGGCCGCACACTCATTCACATAAAACGCTGCGCTGCCGGCGGAATCCCCGGCTTCTGGGGCAGCAAGTGGCCGGGCCGGGTGCCGAGCGTGCGGGGCGGGAAAGAGCACTGAGCGGCCCGCCCTCCGGCGCTGGGCTCCTTCGGCCGGCCTCAGCCCCGCGGTGGCCCTCCCGTGCCTAGCCCGCGGGTACCCTGGCCGTGGGCACCGGCGGGGCGCTCGGCGCGGGGCCGCTGGCCAGTGGCGGCATGAAGGTCACGTCGCTCGACGGGCGCCAGCTGCGCAAGATGCTCCGCAAGGAGGCGGCGGCGCGCTGCGTGGTGCTCGACTGCCGGCCCTACCTGGCCTTCGCCGCCTCGAGCGTGCGCGGCTCGCTCAATGTCAACCTCAACTCGGTGGTGCTGCGGCGGGCCCGGGGCGGCGCGGTGTCTGCGCGCTACGTGCTGCCCGACGAGGCGGCTCGCGCGCGGCTGCTGCAGGAAGGCGGCGGCGGCGTGGCGGCAGTGGTAGTGCTGGACCAGGGCAGCCGCCACTGGCAGAAGCTGCGGGAGGAGAGCGCCGCACGCGTAGTGCTCAACTCGCTGCTGGCCTGCCTGCCCGCGGGCCCGCGGGTCTACTTCCTCAAAGGTGAGTGCGGCGGGCAGCCGGTCCCCTGATACCCTACCACAATCCAGCACCGGGATTCCTGGGTCTTGCGTTACTCCTCCTTGCTTGGGGCGTCCTCCGGCATCCTGCACCCGGGAAAGTCAACCACTTGCGGGACTCTGCACAGTGGGGCTTGACGTGCGCTTGGGAGGGCACCCGCCTCAGAGCTTACCCCTCTCCACCAGCGTTCTTCGAAAGCGTCTGGCAGCCCGTCTGTCCGCCAGGCTGAGTGAGACTGGTAGTGCTGCGGAGAGGTGCTCCTTAGCAGTTTGGGGGCCTTGAGCTCGTGCAGGGCGCAGGCGCCTTTTCCTGACACTGGGTTCACTGCTCTCGCTGGGGACTGGGCTCCGAGCCTTGCTGATGTATCTGGCATGATCTGCAGGTCGAGACCCTCCCTCCCCCTAGCGTGGCGCCGTGGTGTCCCCCTTCCTCCCTCCTAGACAATTACAGTGCTTTAGGCTGTGTCTTTACCAACCCCTCATGCCTTTTTGACCCTGGTGAGTCCCTCCCCCTTCCTTTCCTTTTTATTTTATTGCTTTTTATTGTTTTCCTCTGGCCTCCTCCCCTCCTGGTCCTAGGCCTTTCTCAAGCCTAATTTGGAGCTGACAGCTTTCCCACCCCTCCTGCCTTCCTGGGGCTGAGATTATCCCTGGGACTGGTCCTGAGCCGAGACTACTACTGGGTGGGAGGCCGCCAGACAGCCAGTGCTGCGGGTTGGGGGCGGGGATAGGGGGAGGGAGACAGGCAGTGGTGATGGGGGCAATGTGATGTAGAGGTTCTGTGACCTTTGATTGGAGACCTCCAAGAGCTTCCACCAGGCCTGCCCATTTCACCTGCTGGGAACATAACTTTAGCTTCCTGTTGTGGGTGGGTGGGTGATTGACTCTCAAACTCCAGAGCATTGATTTCTGGGTCACTTCCTGTGACTGCTCCTGCCTTGTAACCTCAAATATATGGGAACCTTGGTTCTGGTGCAGAGATGAGAGCTTAAGCTGGACCGGGCCCCCAGGGTCCTATCAGCCCTATTACTGGACACCTTGGACTGTAACACTGATGTGGTTCCGTACTCAGGTGCAGCTAAGTTTCAAGCAACCTAACTTGGGGAATTTCACACACCTCAGAGGCTCGTGGGTAGCTCCCCATCTATTAGCACCTCTTGGTGACTGTCCCTTCTTCCCACTGGGAAGATAACAGAGGTGGATGGTAATCCTCCTCCCTACTGCCCCAGTCCCCTGAGGTGCGGGGGAGTGGAAAATGGCCTTTTTAAGCAATACAGAGGTCTCACTGTTGGCTCTAAATCGCCTTCTCTTCCTGATATCATTTTGATTTAGTCTTTTTACTTAGCAATGCATATAGGAAAAGCTTCTGCCTCCCCAGCAGCCGTGAAGATGTTCCAGGAACCCTCTTGGTCCTGCCTCTGATCCCCACCCTTCTCCAAGAGGGCTGTGGACTGTTGACCAGTTATTGCTACAGGAAGTAGTCAGCTTTTGGTGGACTCTGCAAAATTATGTTTAAATTTTTTTTAAATGAAATAACATATCCAGGACAAAATTTAAACAGGTCAAAATTTGAAAATTTCATTGCCTTTGTGATGAAAGTTGGGTCTTCCACACACCCTTAAACTCCATTCTACTCCCCAGACAGCCACCAACTATTTCTTATTTGTCATTATTTCCCACAAGTATCTTTTTATTTTAATTTTTTATAGTTGTAGATGAACAGAATGCCTTTATTTTATTTGTTTTTTATTTTCTGTGTTGCTGAGGATCAAACCCAGTGCCTCATGCGTGCTCTGCCACTGAGCTACAGCCCCAGCCCTCCCAGAAGTATCTTTAAAAAATAAATTTATTTTAAATATATTCCCTGTATCTAGATCTTAGACACTTGTCCACATCAGGACATACATGTCCCTTCACTTGTGATGACCAGCAGGTTGCTTCCAGCCTTACTGTTTGAAGCAGTGAGATAGAGGATACCTTTGCCCATATATTCTTGTATGTGCACTATCTTATCTTTCCATAAAATGATAAGACTTACTAGGTCAAATTTGTGTGCATTTGATTTCAGTAGAAATTCCTATCCTTATAACACCCTGCACTTCAAACTGTTTTTTTTTTTTTTTTTTGCCAGAGGAAAAATTCTTTATCTTGCCTAACTCATGTCTAGATATGAGTTCAGATTTTAACCTGGTGGCGTTCAAATCCTGGGGCAATGCCTTTTATACTCTCTAAATCCCCCCTCCAAAACCAAGACTCACTGCAATGAGATGGTGATTGACTGAATTGTGTGGCCAGTGCTTATTTATATATAGTGTCTACTCACTGCCTCTGTTCCTCTGGCAATGTGGTGATGATTGAAAGCAGACTCACTCTGAGGAAGGTTGAAGCCCTAAGAATTGCCATGGCTCTTGCAACGTGAGTGAGGCACCGGAGAGGAATGTTCTGTCTCCACACCTCTGATGGGAGTGGGTGGAAGACCCATCTAATCTCCTGACCCCAGCTTGAAGAGGCAGGGCCCAGTTTATCTGTCCCTCTACTACACTGAGTCGCCTTGTCTGCCTGCCTTATTTTGTCAACAGGCAGGCAGGATCTAGCCCACACCCACATCTCTCCAACTGACAGCCAGCTTTTAAATGATCTGTTTGAAGCCCAGACATAGGGTGGCCCAAAGGCTTCTTTTCACCAAGTCTCATCTCTAAGTTTTGGAGGGACTATACCCATCTGGATGCAAATGCTTGCTCCCAATCACTTGTTTTATCTCCTAGAATCAAAGTGTTGAGATCTGGCATGGGAAATGATCAGGTGGTTGACTGACTAGGGACACCTCCTCTGGGGAAGATGTGGGCCAGTGTTAAGTCTGGCACTCTCTACCTCCTAGAAGGGAAGGGGGCTGGGGGACATGAGGGAGAGGAAGCTACACCACCAAACCTCTATTTCTGCCCCCCTTCGTCCATCCTCCAGCTGGGCCTCCTGTCACCATGACAGGGAACATGGTCATTGTGGAGGACCAGAAACTCATCCGGGGAGGTACGGTGGGCTGTTTGTTGAAGTGACCACGGGAGAGATTCGGGTATACTAAATGGGGGCAGGGGCAGTTCCAGCAAGCTGAGAGGAAGCAGTAATGGCAAGATGACTCATTCTAGGAATTGGCTGCAGCTTCTGGGAGAGAGTTGCAGACTGCCATGTAATCCATTAACCATTTGTTGACTGCAGAGTTGAAAAAAGACAGCACCTCCTCCATTAAGGGTCCATCACAATATCAAAACACAAAAGAGAAAAGGAGTTTTTTTGGAAATGGCATGATCTCAGAATGCGTATTTAATTCATGATTTGATACTAAGTGAATTCTCTGGGCCATTAAAAGACAAGTGGGCTTTCTAGAGGCTCTCGGAAGTGCGTGAGGTTGCTCTGGTTGGAAATAGAGTTCCTAAGCAAAGCTGGCCTGTTCGCCCACTAGCCCTTGGCTTCCTGAGGGGCCCTAGGCCATTTTTCATTTGGTTCTTCCCCACTTGAGTATAATGGCCTTGAGAAGACAAATTTCTGTGACCTAGAGAGAGTGGTTTTTAGCCTTAAGTCATCAGTCTGGAGAAGTTTAAATGTAGTGCTAAGATTCTTAATGCTCTTAGTTGATGTATCCTTTTGGGGCCTGGGAGAAAGGTTGTGGGGAGGATAATAAATAAGATAGAAAGGGTAGTAGTCACAAAGGAACAGAGACAGGCTTTACTTATGGGGGCTGGGAATTTAGTTCAGAAGTCCTCATTCCTCCCATTTGGCCTAGAAGGCAATTAACTGGATTGATGGCTCTAAATTGGACCTAGGGAAGGGATTGTCAGCAGAGTTCTTAACACCTCGAGGGTGAGAAGGGGCAAGGCTGGTTTACTGTTCTGATTTGAATCCTTGCATGAGTCCCTATTCTCTTATAAATGATAGGGTGCCATCTGTAATCCTGCTTAAAGCAAATGGGCTGAGGAAAAACAGTTTAAAAGAATTTCTTCTCATAAATTAATGAAATTTTCCATAATCACACCTTCATTTTGAATAAAAAATGAGAAAATGGCTTTTGTTTTTCTGGAAGGGTTTAGTTAATATTTGCCAGATGCCAGATTATTTCTTTCACAGTTTAAGCTGCTTCTGATAGACACAAAAAGTTAATCATTGCCTTTCTGAACTATAGCCTTTTAGAGCTGTGTGTACAAACACATGTGTGTGCGTATGCACGCATCCAATTTCTATCCTAAAACTGCTTGATGGTTCTACTCAATTTTTATGTGACCAGAACCTATTAGATTTTTAATTTTTTTTTTTTACTATCCCACACTCAGGGTTTTGGCTAATTATGAGTATTTTATTTTTGACAGCTAGAGAAACCAATGCTTACATCTGTCTCACTTTTTGTATGTTCACTTGTTTTTCTAGGGGGATATGAGACCTTCTATTCGGAATATCCTGAGTGTTGTGTAGACGTAAAACCCGTTTCACAAGAGAAGATCGAAAGCGAGAGAGCCCTCATCAGCCAGTGTGGGAAACCAGTGCTAAGCATCAACTACAGGCCAGCTTATGACCAGGTATGTAGCTGCCAGTTCCTGTCTCATTCCTTCCTTCCTCAGCCACCTGACTTCTCTCCCAGCTCAGCAGCAGTGGTTTGTTCTCTGTGGATCAGGGTGCTGGCACCATCCTCTAACTTGGAGAGCCTCTATAGCTTGCCAGTTGGAGTTCCTGTCCAAGAATAAATGGGCATCCTTCCAGCAAACAAGCTGACAAGAGCAAGTGAGCCCTGGGATGCTGGATAGCTTCTAGAGAAAAGGGGAAATGAAAGATACTTTGTTAATGGCTGCCTTGGGAGGTTCAGAGAAGCTTAGAAATACTGGCTTAGGTTTCCCTGAAAACATTTCAGAGTTGACTTTCAGGCTTCCTGTGTTCTTTGTAATTGCTGATCATCTGCAGTTTCTATACACCAACCCAGTACCTATCAAGGTGTGTCTTGGTGTTTTTAACTGCAGTGGGGTTGGAGGCAGGGGGAAAGGTTGCAGTGCTAGAGAAGCCCCTGTTTTGGATGGCTCAGCAGGCTCCCCTGAGGGTCTCTGATGCTTGTAATTCTACAAATTCTGACACCAGAGGAGATCAAGAGACGCTAGGGAGATTCTTGTTTCTCTAAAGGTGTGGAGGTTTATTTCCTTCAAAGAATTGTGCATTGTAACCACCCATTAAAGGTCGTGGGTTACTTAACATGATGTAGGAAGATGGGGAAAGGCAGAAAAGAGTTCAGATTTTATAGAAACCAGAGCTGAAAACCCACCTTGACTTTTCACCAGAGAGAGGAAGCACTGCCGTAGCTGGTGAGATGACTAATTTACAAAGTCTTGCGGCTGGTTATGGCAGTTACAGAGTTAGAACCCCCTTTTTTCCTTTCTTCCTCCCAACTTTTTTTTTTTGCCCCACAGTACTAGGGATTGGACCAAGGGCCTCGCACATGGCTAGGCAAGAGCTCTACCACTGAGCCACACCCCTAGCCCCAGAACCCCATTCTCTTAACTCCCTGTTGTGGTTCCTTTCAGGACCTCCTCCTGTTTTTCACATGCCCCTGGCTACACACCTGGGTAGTGGGAGGAGCTTTTCACACTGTCCTCCCCAACTAAGAACATAGCCAAAGCCTAAGAGGGAAGACTTCTAGATGCTGCCAAAAATGCCAGTTCCCTGTCTGAGTAGAACTCTGCCCCTAGGGACAGACTTCCAAATAGAACCAGGTGACTTGGTCTTGAATGGGATTCTTGGTCAGGAATCCTTTTAATATGTCGGCCAGGTGCCAGGGTTATGACTCAGTTTGTTTTCCTTAATGGAAAATCTTCACAGTGTATGATGAACCCTTGGCTTTCAAGTCACGTGCATCCAGCCTAGCAGGATTTCTATTTTTGTTTGTTTGTTTGTTTGGGTTGTATTTTCCCCATTTCTAAGAAAGTGAAAGAGAAATAAAAATTGTCAGAGTGTGTGAAAGCACGCAAGACCTTTGGCCAAGCGAAGGTTGGGGAGGCCCTGATGTGTCTTCAAGATCATCTGGGGAACCCCCATACCACTTCTGCACAGAGGAGTGAGGCGAGGCTGTTAACCTTTGAGGTTTCGAAAGGCTGTTGGTATCTTCCTCTTAAGTGTAAATGGGAGGTTCAGAAAGGGAAAGAAATATAATTTGAGGGGTATTTATTGGGCTTAGCTCCAGGGGAAGTTGGGTAGGGTTCCAAGCCTGGTGTCCATGTCTTCCAGGCACTCAGGAAAGGGAGAGACCTAGTCAGCCATCCTGCCTGCTCCGTGTATAGGTGTCCATTGGTGTCTGTCTGGTCAGTTTCTGAGAGAAACTGACCAGATTGTGCCTCTCACTGTTTTCCAAAGAACACTACCATCTTTGCTGTTTTCTGGGTTTCTAATTAGTGGGGAGCTGGGTCCACGGAGTGGGTCCTGTTTAGGCCAGAACCTGGCCTGCTGGGATAGCCTGACCTCCCAGCATCTGTCCTGTGTCTTCCCCAGGGAGAAAATTCTTTTTCTATTTGTTTATTCTTTAGCCTCATGAAAATGCTCTATAATGTATCAGATTTTAATACACCCATTATCCCATTTATGACTTACCCATTATCCCAGGAGGATAGGGATTATTATCCTTGGTTTACAGATAAAGGTTCAGAGGTTAGGGAGGCTTAGAGGTTTTCAGATAAAGGTTCAGAGGTTAAGGAGGCTCAGAGGTTAGGGAGGCTGCCCAAGGTCATACCAGCTAGGAAATGTGGAGCTGGGACTTGATGGAGAAAGAGCAGTTTTACCTGGTGCCCAGGCCCAGATTCTCAGCCTCTGTACCACATTGCCACTGGGAAGGCTGCTTCGAATGCAGGGGAGTTTGGGGAGATTCAAGGAGAGGGTATAAATTCACTTCTCTTTAGGGATAGAGGATATTTTACCTGAAATTCTTGATTTCTCATACTGTCACTGTTGAAATGGTCTCAGACAAGGCCTTGAGACTTGGGTTTGGGTTTCAATCCTATCTCTACCATTTGATAAGCTCTGATGTGGGCAAGTTATTTAAACCTATCTGAGCCAGGTGGTGCACACCTGTAATCCCAGCGGCTCTGGAGGCTGAGACAGGAGGATCAAGAGTTCAAAGCCAGCCTTAGCAATGGCAAAGCACTTAGCAACTCAGTGAGACCCTATCTCTAGATGAAATACAAAATAGGGCTGAGAGTGTGGCTCAGTGGTCGAGTGCCCCTGAGTTCAATCCCTGGTACTAAAAAAAAAAAAAAAAAAAAAAAGAAAGAAACCTATCTAAGCCTCAAGCCACCCTTCTATAAAATGGGAACAACATTACCTACTTTACAGATTTGTTGTGAAATTGGCGCTATATAGGTACATCCAAAGTGTCAGGCCCACATGCCAGCCATTGTAAGTGCTAATAAAAATACTGATTGTTATAATTAACCTTAGGTAAAATCCTCTATAACTTTCTTCTAAGTGACTGAACTGGCTTTACTGAAACACTCAACTTCTCAGGACAGAAAATACAGGCACAAAGTGCTGGACAAACCTCCCTCCTCTCCAGGACACACACATGCCCCTTTCCCTATTATGGGTCTGGCTGAGAGTTTCCATTCCATTCTTATTCCTGGACAGGAAATGGAAAGACAGGAAACGGATGGATGGTATGGGAAAGGCTCCCAAAGACCAACCACAGTCCCTGCAGCCCAGTGTTTCCCTCTGAATCCCCAGGGGCTCCTGTTGTTCCAACTGTCACTGGCTTTTTTGTTTTGTTTGTTTTGTTTTGGCACCTGAGAACCCATACGTGCTCAGATTGCTGGAGTCCAACTAGCTGGAGGTTCATTTCAGGGGTAGATAGTCTCTGGTTCTCACTTAGTCTTGATTCTCCACACCAGAAGCCTGCTGTGTGGGTGATGATGTAAACCCCTCTCACCCACACAGCACCCCGTGTGAAGAAGGTCAGGGGTGGGGAAAACCCCTCTGTGGTCTAACAGTTTTTCTTAGTCTATGGATTCTGGGTAGGTAGTGGTTATTTTCATTTCTAAGAAGCATACTTTTTTGGAGGGTGAGGAGGCTGCATATTTTACCATTTCTGAAACCTGGGTTATTTTAGAATAGACAGTATCTTAGAGTTGATGAAAATACAGTATAAAATGTCTGGGCTATAAAGAAGGGAGCCTACATTGCCAGGGTTGCCCCACGGCTCAAGGCTTGTCCTGGTACTCTTAGGGCAGCTGAAATGTCACCATAGGTCTTTTAATTGCATTGCTCCTGTTCTTACACTGGGTAGCACAGGAAGGCTGCTGGCATTTCCTATCTCCTTGGATAAGTGCAAAAAATGAAACTCTGGGCCGTGTGGGTTTGGCTGTCATTGAGTCACACGGCAGTCACGGTGGGTAGAGTTTACCAGGATGGAGGTGCCACCCACACTCTTGGCTGAGCTGCCCTGGCTCTGAACTCTCTCTACCTGGAAACCAGAAAGGGAACCTCCCACCTTAAGAGACAAATAGGTCAGAGTTGTTTATTTTTAATTCTTCCAAATGAGCAAGCTAATCCAATATTTCCTGGTTGTTCTTTGTCTCTGCTTCCAGGGCAGCCCTGTGGAAATCCTTCCCTTCCTCTACCTTGGAAGTGCCTACCATGCATCCAAGTGCGAGTTCCTAGCCAACCTGCACATCACAGCCCTGCTGAATGTCTCCCGGCGGACCTCCGAGGCCTGCACGACCCACCTACACTACAAATGGATCCCAGTGGAAGACAGCCACACGGCCGACATCAGCTCCCACTTTCAAGAAGCAATAGACTTCATTGGTAGGTTGGGTCCTCCCCCTCCATTATTTTGGGAGCCCCTTGGAGCATGCCTTCTTGGTTTTTTGATGTGCTGATGGGGGGCTACCTTCTCTGAGAGAAAAATGCCCTGTGTATGCAACCACCAAGAGTCGACACCAAGAACAGATGCTGCAGAGGGAGGACTTGAGCTGCTATTAATAGGAGCTTTAGTTTGCAAGATAAATGAATTAATATAATTTTATGGCTATACTCACTGCTGCTCTTGTTTTGTTTCAAGTTGGGCGGGAGCAGAGTATGTCCATGCGTAATGCTTCACACGAGGAAAGGGGGAAGCGGGGGCTCCCTAACTGTGTTTCTACGTAGGTTGGGATATTTTTAAAAGCAAACAGAAGGATCGAGAGAGCGCTACTTACGCACTGAGCCTGGAGGGCCCAACAGCTTTCCACAGTTTTGGCAAACAGCTTTGGAGGCAATTTGTTTTGCATTTTCAGCTAATTTTGGATTAAAGATAGCACTTGACTCAAGCTCCATGCTTTGTGCACAGAAAATTTGGCATCTTCTACATCCTTTCTGCATTCCTATGAGGCAGTTATCATTTACTCCATTGTGCAAACCTGAAAACAAGGCCGTAGCCTTCACCCCTCTGCCTGGAAAGAGCTTTGGCCTTGGGGTTTCCAGGCACTTGAGGTTGCCTGGATTGTCCTCCCGTTTGGTGTCTTCTCTTTCTCCCATATCTCTTTCCCTGCGGGTCTGGCCTAACTTTTTTTTTTTTTTTTAATCCCACGTTTGCAACACTACTCCCTAACCTTGTGGTCTTAAGAGGACTTCTTTCTTTTTAACATGCATAGTTGTTGGTACTGAGGCTTGATTTTCCTTGTATCACGTTCTAAGGGATGTTGAAGGAGGAAAGACAGGTGTTAGGCACAGCATAATTACTTGGTGCAGACAGCAATTAAAGGGCCCTTCTTCAGCCACTTGGTAAGCCCTGTGCTCATCACACACAATTTCTGCTCCATAGGAAACCTTGATGAGAAATTCACCAGAGGCAAAAGGTCAAACCTGTCCTCATTGTCCCCTGAGCCTCCAGGCTGAAATGATCCCTTTAGAGCCTGAGAAGCAGCCAAAATGATGGGTTCTGGGTGGGAAACCCTTGACTTGCTCTCCCGGTCCCTGGGAAGGCTCTGCCCTCCTAGGCCTCTTATTTAATTACCTAGATAGCTGTTGCATGAGGTCATGAAACTCGCCCCCATCCAGCTCACAAGAACTGTCCCTCCCAGTCCTGTGTGTATATTGTATATGTTTGTGTACAGTCACACCACCCCACAGGGTTTCAAAAGTACACAGTGTTTTTTCCCAGACACCTTGCCCTGCTAATGGAAGAGGCTGAGCCTCCCCAGTGGGCCCTGTGCTGAAATATGCACCAACCCCTTCCAGATGAAGAGTCCTATAGAAGGCAGGCCCCTGAGCTGTAGAGAAGCAGTGCATTCTGGGCCCTTTGCCCACTAAAAGCTGGACTCAAGAGGGGAAATGAGTGGAAGAGCAAAGGAAACGAAGGCACAACCCTGTCACCCTAGGGAGTTGGGGGTCTCCCTTTGGAACTGATTTATAAGAACTTTTGTTTTTTTTGTTGTTGTTTTGAATTGATTGGATTGGGGGTACCTCTCATGAGCTACCGGTGTACTTTGGGTTTTTTTGGTTCACATGAAGAATCTGTAGATTCCTCCCTGAGCCTTAGATATTTCATCTTCTAGACATTGCAGATTCATTTGCAAACTTCTTGAACTTGGAGCAGATGAGCGAGGATGTAAGGGGGCTCCCCTACCTGCTGCCTTCAAAAATTTTGTTTTTGCCTACTGCAGCCTCACAGAGTGCTAGCTACATCTAACTTCCTGTGATGTAATTGTTTCCTCATTAGCTAAAGGGGGAATTGGAAGGACTGTTTTTTTGTGTTCTTGTTGATAATATTCACCTTTTACCCTTTCCCATTTTTAACAGTTGTAGTTCTGTTTTGCTGGGAGGGTTCGAGCAGGAAAGGAGGGGCCCCCTTTTGGTCATATTGAGCTAAAGAATGCTAACTGATGGTGGTAGCTTTATAGCAGTGACTCCCATTGTTGAGCAACATGGAATTTGCAAAAGCCATTTATATCCTCCGTCTAGTAAGCGTCACTTAGCCAGGGCTATAATTAGTGGCCATGTGCTATTTATCGTATGTTTGGTGGTGAGAACCCTAGGAGCTGAGCCAAGCATCCCGCCCTGGCACAGCAAGACAGGGTGTCCAGGGAGGCCGGGAGGTCTCTACCAGGATGGGGGCTAGGTTGTCATCATTAGAATCCGACCTGGAGAGAGGCAATGAATTACTTCTCCGAGTAAGGCTTTGAGCCTGGGAGGCTCTCAGAAAATTGTGCATATGCAATAAAAATTTTATGCTTTCAAGGATTTTCTAGTTCCTTCTTGAACCCCACCGTTGGAACCCAAGTTAGGATGGAATCCCCAGAAGGGATTCCTTCAGGTCTAGCATCTCCCATGGCAGAATCTGCAAATGTTCTAGAGAACTGGGGAGCAGCTGTGAGGATTAAATACTTCCTACGTCTGTCCTCACCAGTAGGGACTGAAGACTAGCAAACGTCCAGTATGGTACCATGGCTCTGAGCAGGCACGAGGGTGTGATAACTAGGTGACATTACTGTTTTGATTCTTGTGTTTCAATTCCAGTTCCCACTCATTCCCAATCTCTTATCTTCCTTTCAGACTGTGTCAGGGAAAAGGGAGGCAAGGTCCTGGTCCACTGTGAGGCTGGGGTTTCCCGGTCGCCCACCATCTGCATGGCTTACCTCATGAAGACCAAGCAGTTCCGCCTGAAGGAGGCCTTCGATTACATCAAGCAGCGGAGGAGTGTGATCTCACCCAACTTTGGCTTCATGGGCCAGCTCCTGCAGTATGAATCTGAGATCCTGCCTTCCACGCCCAACCCGCAGCCTCTCTCCTGCCAAGGGGAGGCAGCAGGCTCCCCATTTATAGACCATTTGCAGACACTGAGCCCTGACGTGCAGGGCACCTACTGCACATTCCCTACCTCGGTGCTGGCGCCAGTGCCCACCCACTCAACTGTTGCAGAGCTCCACAGGGGCCCTGTGGCCACTGCCACATCCTGCTAAGACTGGGGTGGGGTGCCAGCCCAGCCCCAGAGCAACTGTGATTTTGTTTTTTAAACTCATGGACATTTCACACCTGTGCAATACTGAAGACCTCTCTCTGTCTCACTGCCCCAGTAAGACACTGAGCGATTATCAGGTTTGCAGACAAACTTCAGACTGACCTCACGGAGAGGTTCTCGGGACTGAAGGAAGGCCAAGCCATTATGAGAGCACCGTGTGTGCTGACTACTGTACTTCCAGACCCCTGCCCTCTCAGGACCTCCTAGTCCTTGCACCTCAAGGTTCGCCTTTTCATTTCAAGCATAGGCAATAAACACCTGCAGCAACAGGAAAGAGAGAAGTTGCTGGACCAGGAGAAAGGGCAGTTAGTTAGGAAGCCAATTCATTTTAAAGGAAGCACAATCTCCATCTTATTTTTTTGAACTTTGGCAGTCTCAGTGTCTCTCTGTTGCTTCGGGGTATAAGCTGATCACCGCCTAGTCAGGAAAGTTATCCTGCCGGATTGGTAGGGACACCCTGGATATGCTGATTTGAACCCTGAAATGTTTGTGAGATGCCCTCTGGGTCCAACGGAAACATTTGGTTGAAGTTGCAAGATGTTGACTCTTCTGGGTTTCATTTTCACTGTGGGTTCTTTCCTGACCTTGGACTTTGGCATGATTCTTCATCATACTTGAACCAGTCTCCGTTGCACCATAGACCAAAAATCACCCCTTTGAGGTGGCAGTGGGTGCCTGGAGAAAAAGGGTACCTGCTGTGTCTTCTGGGTCAGTGGCATTGAAAACAGTCCTTCCTCAGCTTGCTGTCCTTCTGTGTGCTCGTGTCTCGTTTCTTGTGACACTTGTTTTCCTCCCAGCCCCTGGGGGTTGTCTTCAAGCTACTGACTTCTGGGATTTGCAGATTGTTGCAATGTGGTACTACTTTTCTGTCTGTAGATTATTTCTCCAGGGGAAAAGGCAATAATTTCTTAAAACCCATGTGAATGTGAAGAAAAGGGGTATGTTACTGGTTGTTATTGTTTTTTTATAGTGCAAAATAAAAATAGTTAAAGGAAACAGCACTTCTTCATGTTGTTGGTGAGTTGGAGTAAAGTGGAGATACCTTTGGATCGGAGCCAGCCTGCTGCACAGGGTTTCATTTCCAAATAGTAGGGTGAAATGGTGGATGTGTAGCTGTAAGGTTTTCACTCATGAGTCCGTGATCGAAACAAGGACACAGAATGCTGCTTTTCATCTGAGGGGCTTCCCTAAGCTAACAGGCACAGGCTTCACAGGGAAGTGGTTGGAGCAACTATTCACTCTGGGTTCCTCAATCCCATCACCCCAAGATAGGTCAATTTGGCTGGAACCTCAGATGCCTTGTCTGCGAAATGGAATGAACTGAGCTAGATGTCCACTTAAGCACAAGGCCCTGGATTCTAGCAAACCTGGGTGCCAGGCTGTCCAATCTCCTCCCTCCCTGCCTGACACGATACAACTAAAAAGTCTAGATAGAAGGTGATGGGATGGAGATGTAAACTACGTGAAGTTGTTTGACATTAAGGGACTGCCCCCCCCCCCCAGCCCCTTTTTACCCTTGCAACTAATTCTTCCAGAAAATTCACTCAGTAGTTTCTAGGTAAATCCCACAGTGAGTGGGTTTAAATCCAAGGCAGACTCAATTTGACGTCTAAGTAATGTCTTCTGCGTTGGTGGAGAAAGGAGGGAGCAGACTCCCCACAGCACTGCCTGTGTCAAGTCTGTCTTGGGGCTTACCTCCCAATCTGGGGTTGTAGGGAACTGATTGGGATTTATGCCACCCTAGACAACTGATGCCTGACACCGGGATTCCAGCTATACCCCTCAATTCAGGAGGGCCCAAAGAGGCACTCTGTGTTGTCAAAGGTCAAGATGGTGGCAGAGCCCAGGTTAGCCCGGCCTTCTCAAGAGCTCACATCAAAGCCTCGCTTGAGGCCTTGCTCTCTCAAATCACCCTCCACAGGCTATTTGGAAAGCACAGATGAGAAGCCTGTACACTGAGGAGGCTGAATTTCTTTCAGTTGTCTCCCTTATCTGCTTAATCTAAGTGGAGCTCTCATGGTGAGGAGCACTGAACAGGGAATAAGGCGTCTCAGGATCCAGCCTTCCCTTCACCCCTAACTCCAGTGTGTGGGAGCTAATCTCCACCCTTTGTGGACCGGACTTCAGGGCTTGGGATAGCTATGCCTGATCCCTTCTGGTTTCACATCTGTGAGCCTCTAGTCAGTGTCAGGGTATGATCTTCAGCCTGTCCAGGTGCCTAGTGAGTGGGGGTGGGGGGAGCTCAAGCAGGGAGACCCAGACTATAGAAGCCAGGTACAGGCTGGGGTGATAGGCTAAGCCATGTCCCACTTGCTGACATTTGCCTTATTGCATTAAAGTCTTTCTCTGAAGACTGAGTAAGTCCTCTAAATCAGACATATGAGAATTGCTCATAAGCCAGTGAGTCACTGGGGGCGGTGGCGGGGTTAAGCCAGTGAACTCCACAGCTGGGGATGGCTCTGGAACTCTCACGCCACTAATATTCTCTTCATTAATTACACCTCCATTTTTGCCAAGATCAGCTTTACACTGCTTCCAGTGCCAGATAGGGAGTTGAAGCTGGTGGGACTCAATTGAAACACCTCTGTTGATTTCCAGCATCCTCAGGTGGAGATGTGTTTGGGAAAACAGATACGTCCCCTATTCTATTTCCTGCTGCTTCTGTGCATGAAGCTCTGTGGGTCCATTCTGGCCTCTGAGTTGGGCCTGATGGGGGTGGAAGATGTATAAGAAGCCTCAACCCAGTATCCAGTGTGCTGGCAGAAGTCCTGTGCACCCGCGGGTCTCCTTGTACAGGAACACTGGAAAAATGTTTCCCTGACTCTGATACCCCAACCATCTGTAGCTCCTGAAGTTGCTGGTGGTTCATTTTCTGAACACCATAAAGCTCATGTGCCTGTTTTCCTTTTTGCTCAGGTAACTAGGCAGCTCAGAATTGAACTCTGAGCCCACCCCTGGCTGTTTTATAGGAGTTTCTGACTTGTGTTCTTGGTGTTGACGCCACCTTGTTTATATTGAAGTTTTCCAATTTTATTTTCCCTTCCATTTCCTCAGTGACTCAAATAACAACAACAATGTACCCTTCAAATCCTATTTAAAGATTAAACATAACACAATGTGCTTATGGAATGAGGTGAGTGTAAATACACAAAGAAAGAAGCCCCTGTGTCTCTTCTCACCCTGAGAGATTCATCTATGGGACTGGGTTCCTTTGCTTTCTCAGTGACTGCCAAATTCTGTGTTTCTTTCTGGGATAGATTCTGTCCAGAACTCTACCTCATGGTTGGGGCCTTGGCCCCTTGCCTCAGAATCTCTGTCACTGCCCTCTCCTTTGACCCTTACCAGTACCCTTTGGGGAACCCTGGCATGGATGGACACATTGCTCAAAGCTGTAAGACTGGGATGTGATAGAAGTGATTCCTCTGTCTAGATAACTGTCATCTGTCCATCCATTAACACTGAGTACCTGCTAAACCTGGGAATCAAGGAGGAGCAAGGGCCACGTGGCTGCACCTTCAAGGACTTCATGATTCTGATGACCATTCACTGGACTTTTTGTCCCAGACTGGAGTTGGCCTCCACAGTTGGACCAATGTCCCCTAGGCTCCCTCCCCCAGCCAGCTCTTGCCCTAGGTTCCAACTCTGTCCTCTCTTATGTATGTTTCATACCCCAAATCACCAGAATACCAACCTGTGGACATGGCTGTGGTACCTGTGCTAACAGCCCAGACCCTGTCCTACATTACGTCACGTCTTAGGTGCTCTTCCTTTTTATCAATTCGGTATTTTTTTTAATGAATATGGTATTAGTCTTGCCCTTACCTCCACCCCCAGTGGAGTGAAAAAAGTAGCCTCCCCTCCCCTGTTTTTTTTTTTAAAGAAATGAGCTCTTATGGAGCCCTACCCCTTTCCCAGCCATTTGGCTAATATAAAAAGTATGCATTAAGAACTTTTTATATGCCATAAACCACGGTAGGCAGGTACACAGGCATCATCTCATTTAATTCTCATCAGAGACTTGTGCAGAAGTTTTTATTATCTTTATTTGCAGATGCACAAAACAACCTCAGAGGTACTAACTAAATAACTTTCCCAAGGCCGTGTGGCTAGTAGAGCCAGGATGAAGCTATTTCAATGCTGTTGTACTCTTCTGAACACTGAGGCTTGCAATAGGTGCTTCTGTTCATTGGGCTTTGTTGGCAATAAAAAGAGTCCCCTCAGGCCACATTATGGAAAGGGTTTAATACACAGTTACACCCCGTTCTAGCCCTTTAAACATGACATACTCCCTTCTGCCTCAGGACTTTTGCACATACGTGTTTCTGCCTGGAATACCTTTTTCCTCTAAATCACCCTTCAACTCATTAACACCCACTGGTCCTTCACTTCACAGCTCCAACTTTGATTCCCTAAGCAAGACCTCCAAGACTCCTAGACTCCTAGACTGGGCCAGATGTCCCTATTAGATCTCTCATAGCTCCCTATGTCTTTCCTTCATATTTTGCCAAAGTTTAAAATTTCACTTGTCTGTGATTATTTTAATGCCCATCTCATCTAGACCATAAGCCCTAAGAGGGCAAGAATTACATTTATTTTATTTTGTTTAGTTTTTGCAGTACTGAGGGTTGAATTCATGGGTAGTTACCTCTGGGCTACATTCCTAGACCTTTTTATTTTTTTTATTTTGAGACAGGGTCTCACTAAGTTGACAAGGCTGGCCTGAAACTTGTGATCCCCTGCCTCAGCCTCTGAAGTCCCTGGGATTGCATGAGTGTATGTACCACCATGCCGGGCAGGAATTGCATTGATTTGAAAGTGACTTAGCACAGGTCTGATCTATGCTAGCTGTTCAATAAGAATTGTTGAATGAAGGAGTGAATAAAGAAAAAAAACCTGAGAATGAACAGCTGTCAGAACCAGAAGCTGCCCTCTCTATCTCAGAGCCCCTGAACCCTCTGCATGTAGTCTCCTTTACCCCAGGGCTACTTGCCAATTAATTACCCAAGATCTGGTTAATTACTGCTACCTCATGAGTTAGAATCCACGGCACCACATCATCTTATTGGTCACTGATCAGCTTATGTGTGGGCTGTGTTTGGGTCAGATGAACCAGTTTCTTCTACATCAGAGACCTGCTAGCTCAGACTCCCTAGATGGGGGCTACGGGTAAGGCAGTTTCAGGTAGAAAGGGTGGCCTTCCATACATTTGACTTTCTTACTATGTAAAATGCTCAATTAGTGCCCCTTGCTTGAGTGTCCCATAAGAAAGCTCAGAAAAAAAAAAATGTAAAACCTTCTGTACCCATCTTGTTTCCCCTCCAGCAGCACCCCAAGGTGACTTAACTACGGTAACTAATCTTCCTTCTTTCTTATTGGGCTGGGGTGGAACCTAGGGGCTTACTCATGCTAAGCACATGCTGTACCGCTGAGTTCCAGCTCCAGCCTGGGAACCTAATTTAAAATCCTGGCTTATTGGTAATATCAGGTCAGGTCCTTTTCCTTCTTCCCCACCCCCAACACCCATGCATTCACTTGAAAAGATTTACAAAAACCAGGAAGCCACCAAATGGGGCCTTAAAAGTAAACCCTTGAAGTATCTGAACACTTTTATTCTGGGCTTTCCAGCAGCAAGGAGAAAATGTGTTGCTTGAGAAGAACAAACCTCCCTGATAGTGAAACCTCGGATTCATCACTATGATGAAAAGATGAAAAAAAATTGATCTCTCATCCAAAAGGAAAGAACAGTGGCCTTAGAATCAGGAAATATGACTGCTGGTGCCAGATCCTAGGGAACATTATTGCTTGGGCCTGAAAGGAGAGATGTCCCCAAAGACAACAGGTATGCCTGTGAGTTTAAGTGTGGGGATTATGGGATAAGTGGGAGCTGAGAACAAGTCTCCTAATCCCCACAGATGCCAGGATGGAAGTAATTTCAAAAGGTCATGTAGTTCTGTCTCCTGCTTCAGAAAAAACACCTCCAAACTTGCCCAGAATTA